CTAGTGGCAGCATGTTATGCACGATCTAACTTGGCCAGTTCACCGGACTTGCAGGGGTATGTTGCCGCACTCCGTGAGAGGAATCCATTGTTACTGGACGAAAAGGTCACCAAACAAATCCCAGAATACTCCACGCATTCGGGCAAACCAGATCAGTTTTGTTCCGGATCATCAGTGATAACGTCATCGTAACTCCCAAGTCCCTCTTACACAATGTCCTGCGCAATGTGATTCTTTGAAAGCTGTAAACCACGTCCAAATCTGCACACCACAGATACAAGTAAGCACATTTGGTTGTATTGAAGGAGGGGCCTATGTGTCCGCCCACTGATACTGAGTATTCATGTTTTCTCGTACCATTCGCCGGTCCCAAGGGTCTACAATCGTTCGTCAGGATTTATACTATCCGCACAGATGAGGGATGGGATGCACGGATGTTCGGGCCAGTCATTTAATTACACTAAGAACAGAAATGGACCGAAATAGTTTGTAGATAGGGCCTATTAGTAAATTGTTCCACACTTGGGTGAGTCAAATTCTGTGTACAAGACCAATTGGACGCGTAGGCGTGACCTATGTATGTAACTAATCTAATAATAATGCATTAAACGATGATGGAATTTTCAACACGCTGCCTACCAGAATCTAAGAATGACATAAAACAAACTATCGCGACAATTTCAATGTTGCGTGTTTATTTTATTGGTATGACAACCAGTTTGTGTTTTCAGCTGAAACGTAAATACATTACAATTAGGCATTTTTGGGTCATGGTCAGATATCTCGTTTCTACTGCCAGATCGGAAACCCATTACTGAGTATAGAAAGTTCCGCTGGGATGCAATTGCACAGTTATGCGATCTATTTGTGTCAAATGTAAATACATAATCAAAACTCGCAAACCCATTCACCTCCCACTTTCCGAATTGCCTGCGCGTCTGGCGAAGAAAGCAGACCGTTATATTTTTGGACTTTGCGAACAATGACAAATTGCATTTGATTGGGCTGAGGGTACCACACTGGTTTTGGGGAAAAACGGTAAGTCAAATTTGTAAAAGGTGACTTATGTGTAGAAAATAAGAGGTCAAAGCAAAACGATATGTTTAATATGGGATAAAAAGAGATTTTTTAGGAGGGGGAAGTAGTGAGTTTGTGAGTTGTGATTATGCGCTGCCATGTATGAGGTTTTAGCCGAACAAGGGTGTACAGGAACTATATTTGGATTTTATACTCAGCATTGCGTTTCCGATCTGGTGAACAACTGGGTATACACGACTTGGATCAACATCCGCACAATCTCTGCATCACTTTCCTCCATTTTTTCTATAACATGACAGCCCTATGAATGATCGCTAACAATTTCCCAAAATTCCAAATTCACCTCGATATTCGGTAAATAGAAGGTAACAGAAACACAAAATATTTGGACTACAGGTTTTCCGCCTGTTTGAGAGCAACAACGTTTCACGCATCCTCGAAAATTCTCAACTGAATGCGTGTCCGGAATTATATTGTATTGTAATGATGTGTGCAGGAATCTATGTCCACATTTCAGTCAAAAGAGGTGTTCCCCGTTGCACTAGAATGCTTACGAGAAAAGTGACCGGTACAACAATGAACAATGTGAATAACAGTCAACTTTCTTTGTGTTGACCAGTTCGTAGCATAAATCTGATAGTGAGATAAGGAAGTGTGCGCAATGCATAGTGAACGCGTGTGGTAAGTGACTCATCTAACGCTTTATTACACTTGAAAGTGATGTAGGCAGCAATCTATTCGGACCAGACAATTTTCATTCTTTTTCAACGTTCCAATTCGCATAGCACAATGTAAGCGCTTCAGTTAATAACCCAGGATGTAAATAAGTACGATGAGGCAGACAAGAAATAGACTTGCCCTAGTCGGTGTCCGAAAACAGCGATTTCATAGCTTTAAGTAGTTTTCCACTGATACTCCCAAACGCATGACTCCTTATCTCGATGTTACTTCCCAACAGCGTCCAGCTACAAAACAATCGACAACTGGCCGATTACTTGTAATACAACTAACACGTTAGCAAACGAGTCATGTGGTTTCTCTAAAAAGAGCCGAGGTGGCGTCCCACGAAAAAAAACATCATATCGGGTGCCTTAAAACATCATCGTCTTTCTACCGACGCATACTGCAATCTTTCTTCGCAGATTTCTCTGCACATTCAGCAAAGCTTCACTGGAACCAATGGACAGTTCTCGTTTCCTTCAGCCGATACACACCTAACCCTGAAATTTCGTTTGACCCGTCTGATAGAACCGATAACGGCTCAATCTCAATCCCGAACACCTATTAAGCCGAGTCACCATGAAATGTGAAGCCATACGAGAATAGAATAGCACTGCATGCTTCTGACTGCGTGCTGAGACGTTCAGTGAACCACTGACAGAATTCCATTCAGCCCGAAAGATCCCGCAAATAGACTTTCATCATGAATGGCACACAAGTGGCGGCACGCCGATACTATTTATTAAGCCGTGGGAGTAAATAACAAGGCACCTCTCGACCCTAGCTAAAGGGAATTTAAAACGGCTTTAGCTCAGGCGAGGGACACTCACACATATTATTACCATGGTCTAAACGGTTAGTTCATTATGTGTATCAAAGCTGTGCCACACCAAACTCTTGAACCATACGACCAGTCATTTCTGATGCGCTCCGTGTTGATACATTACCACATTTTCCTCAACCTCATCAAAAATACATCACATGCAACCTAGTGTAAACAATATTTATAAAATACTTTTCTACATTTGAAAGCATTTTAGTGTTATATGACTCAACCATTGTTTTAACAATAAAGCAACCAGCTGCAAATAACCGTAGCCGATGACGACAACAGTGAAAAACCATCAATATGTCATCATCATCATCTCACAGCGAAATAAAGTGAGGCGAACTTCACTGATCGCTGCCAAACTCGCAATGCATACACGGTTAGCGTCAATATTCAAGGTGAAGAGATTGGAATTATTTTGAGGAAGGGAGAAGAAGGCGAACCTCTATGGTCAAACACAGAGTACGCAACCTGCAAACATACAGTTTCAAACATTCTGACCTGGTAAGAAATGGCAAGAACACCACTGCTGTCGGTTCGCTGCCATATCCTTCAATGTCTCTAACTGACCGGTTGTGGAATCTTTCGGACTGCAACCTGGAAGGCGCGAGACACCTACTCTATATAATGGCTCAGTGCATTTCTGCATGCCTCGTCTCCACGTCATCTGTTGACATCCACGTGGTTTCCTCCAGCTCGGATTAGCTACAGCGAATAAGGTGCGGTGCGGCAGACGATGGCTGGGCATACGCAATACGTGACCTAGCCAGCAAAGTCTACTAATCTGAATGCGATGTGCTGGAAGGTTTATACTTGATAGACTCCCAAACACACGACGGCTTACCTCCAGATTACCAACCCGTTGGCTCCATCCCACATGAGCTAAACTACCTAAACAACGATAATCGAAAATTTCTAGTCGATAGATATCTTCTACTCGCAAATTCAAGGTCTCACAACCATAAAACAGAACTGAGTGAACGATGGTACTACATACGCGGCCTTTCAACTTCAATGAAACGTCGTGTTTCAGTCCTGCATATGCTGCTCGAGGCTTGGAAATGCGGGCGGTATCTGGATCGGTCACGTTGTACAGTGACAGAATCCAAAAGCTTTGTTTTCCAATAGATCACAAAATCCATCTTGCCGCGGAGGTCAATCTCTTCTCAGTCTATTAAGGTTGTAACTCAATTTGGCCATTAGTGGAAATTCACACGTGTTACCCCTTCCATACAATCTGAACATTTTGAACTGACGATTATAATGCATGCTGTTGACATGATTCGTGTTAGGACACAGCAATATGTTGCGGATAACCAATCTCATTTGATTTGCATGATCACTGTGATAAGTATTTCACTCTGATCCATCTCGTTTTGAACCTTGGCATGGGAACAACCCAATTCTTATCCGTCAGCTCGGAAAAACAACAATGGATGTTGCATGATTTTATTTGGTCCGGAAAGCCTATTAGGGACTGGGGAAATGGAGAAAGACAATGGGTGACGAGGGTAAAGAAGATAGAATGGAGGAAGGACTGGGGTCGGGTAATGAATGAGACGGACGGACAGAGGAATAGATGAATGGACAGATGAATGTCGAGACAAATCGTACACGGGAAAGAGGGAAGGACAAGGAAAAATGAAGGGGGGGTGTTGTGATTCCAAGTGAATTGAGATGGAAACGAACAGATGAAGAGAGCACAGTATCACAGTACGAGGGGCAGTGTGTGTGTGTGTGTGTATGTGTTTGAAAGTGGCACGATGACGTGCAGGTAGGTATTGATGCTAAAAGTGCGCACTGACGAGAGAGAGAGAGAAATGCAGCCCCAAGGCGAAGACACTTAAAAATATGTGAAAATGCACACAGATGCGGTTTGGTTGCAATTTACTCATGAAATATTATTCTGATCTACAAAGTCCGATGAACCCAAAGGCTCGGGAATGTTTCCATGCTAATTGTTTGTAAGATCACTATTGTGTGATGAATCCGGCAATGGCTCAGATTGGGATTCATGTGACTCAATCACCGGTGATGCATCTGAAAGATCGGAGCCATGTACCGGTCCCGGACCCGTAGAATTCGGAGGCTCAGTATCTGCATCGGGGCCAGTGGCACTCGGTGTGGTATTCTTCCCATCGGTGGGCAAATTGGCCCGTGCGTCTTTTCGACCGGAGAAAAAGAACAGATTGTCCATTACAGTCGCATTGAACGGGGTCTTGGGTGAAACGTTCATGAATGCGGTCAGTTCCGAGGTGTCTGTTCGCTCGAAACGGGCCGCATTGACACTGGGCTCAGACGAACAACGATGAAGTTTGGGTAGGGACCGGTATAGACTGTCCAGGCGTTGGTGAATCTGAAGCCAAGACAGCGAAAGAAAGGATCAATTAGATGAAATAAATAACATGTCGCATGGGGATCAGAAAATGGCATGTGAAAAACGGTTTCACAATTCTGTTGTGCATTATTCATGTCCTGCAGTGCACGCAAACAGGTGTTATTTTGTCCAAGACGGGAGGAATCTTATTCAATTAGAAACAATGAGTGTGCAGAGGACATGATACCAACCGACCAAGTTATTGCACTTGTTTTGGCATGTGTCCCGAGGATTACGAAACTAAACTGTCATGGAAGCGTGGACTTGCCACAAAAGGAAAAGAGGGAGCACAGTGAGAAACATTCACGTGTGTACATATGCATATATATTACACACCTGTGTGATGAGCACCAGTCGGGGCGAACCCCATAGTCACGAAAACCCGCTGCTCAGTGATGGTAACCGGAAACCTAAGCCTCGGGGCTTGAAGTGGTGAAACACATGAGGCCCCGCTAGGTCAGGCGTGGTATAGAACCGGGCGACAGCAAAGCTGCCTACCAACAAAGTTGGGTGGCGGTGACGGGGCTCAAACCTCGGACCATAGGGTCCAAAGCACGCCGGTGACAGTAACTAAACCACTGCGCCACCACACACCAAATCAGTAATGATACAGATTCACTCCCGTTTCTTATTGCTGACTGTGTTTCACCGTTAAATAGAAGGCATAAACTACTCCGTAATCAAAAAGACTACATGTATGGCTTATCGATTTGTCGAAACACCGGATTCGGTTGAGAAAAACATTGGAGTTGGATCAGTTCAGTACAAAAAGCGTCTAGAAACGAAAAACAAGGTTCATCTCAAACAACTGAGGGAGATCAAACAACATTAAAAACAAGCGATGACCGAAAAGCAAAGGACAAATGAGAGAAGAATGAGTGGATTTAGATACGCACCACAGAGAAGGGCGGACGATCCTCACGCTCGAAACTGACACAATCCACGGCCAAACGTCGCATTGTCAACGGTATATCGGACCGCGCGTCAGACATGTCCGGTTTGAGAAGCCCGCGACCGACAAGAAACAGGATCTGATCCCGATTGTTGTAGTGCGAGTAAGGCAATTGACCGGTGATCAACTCGTACAGAACCACGCCAAATGCGTACACATCGGAGAGATTCGTGTATGGAGTGTCACCTTGCATACGAATCACTTCAGGGGCCTGTTTTATTGTTCATAGACAAGCCGAAGGCGAAAGAGTTAATAACCAGAAAATAAGCGTAACATAAAACTAAGTTTTAAGCGAAAAGTTTTACCATTAACTCGTCGCAGACATGGATCGAAGTCAGCTTCTGGTCAAGGAATCTACCTACTTGGAGGATCCTATCGAACACACAACGGAAAAACTCTGACAAAAAAATCTCCAAAATTACTATTTATTTCATGCAAAAATTAGGTGATTTATTATAAGGTTTACAGTCAAGCGCATTGAGTTCCCGGATAGGTGGTTTACTCCATAGCCAAAATGCTTTTTTTGGAGCAGAACCAAATCAGATCGATGAACCTCCCCAACTTCTAATATCCTGATAGATAGCAGTTGACAACCAGCCCTCGGACTCCAAAAAACTTTATGTGCAAACCCCTTAAAAGCCAGTTGGTCGAAGGCCTGATAACTAACCAAAAGAAGTGCTAGGTGACAAAACGGAAGACGATCTGGTCGTCCTTCTCCCCTAATCTCTACACTAGGCATGCTACAGGATGTCCCCGTTTTTCTTTTACATTCATATTTCATCTACGCCTACTTTTCAAAATTCCCTGTCCATTAAATAAGCCGGCAATTTTATGGTCGGAATCGCCCACTCTGATGCATCTGTCACCTCCACCCTTCCACTTGACCTTTCTAACCTTGCTGATTGATTCAATGCATATAAGTTAATTATCTATCCCTCTAAATGCGTAGATATATTGTTCTCACTTTTCAGAGGGAACTGTTGTGCAAATCTCTTAGAATCCTGTCCCACGATAAACACATGTAATGCAACCATTATCCATAACCCGTAACCGATAGGTATTTCGATGAGTTAGCCAGCCGAGATTTATGCTGGCCTGATCAATTTGTTTCTGTATTTCGAAAGGTCAGAAAATTATCATTTTGTGTTACACTTGGAAGCTTTAACCATGGCTCGCTTCTTGATTAGCCGTTTTCTTTTAGCTTGCATTTCGCTCCATGGGCTGTACTGATCCCCTGTAATCTTCCCAGGCATTCTCAAGGACTCAAAGTTGCTTGTCAGGNACATCGATCTAGAAGTAGCGGGATTTCCAGTGAAATTCTTTGTCACTTCGTCGTTTCATAACATACAAACTCATGTCACTAGTTTTACAAAAAATAATGAACAACCCTTCGCATCTGTTACACGCTGACCTTACAAACTGTCCTCTTCCTCCACCCGATCCCGCTATAATTGTATAGTTGCTCACACAACCACCTACCGATCTTTTGAGGTGCTTTATTTTACCCTATTTCTGGGTAATCCGGAGCGCACCGCTTCTGAACTAAGCTCATTCATATCGGAAATCTTTTTGTACGCGCCGCTCTACTTTAGATGCGGTTGCTTGTCTTATACACTCTTTTTCATCCACTATAGACCAAAAACACAAAATTGTTCACGTTTGTTTCTTGGACTATACAAACGCGTTTAATTCTGTTGACAGAAGCATCCTATTGTCAGTGTTACGGCAATATAATTTCCCGCCACATCTTTTGAATTGGATGCATGACTATTTTACCGACCGACGCCAATTCATTTGTCTCAATGGTATTAGGTCTTACACTGATACTGTAAACCAGGGTGCAATTTTATCCCCTTTGCTGTTCTCCTTTTACACCCAAAACTTGCCAGTCACCCCAAATGTTTTCACTTTTAAATATGCCGATGGCATAGTAGTTGTTGGTGTATCTCCCAACAACAACCCTTCAACAAACCCCTTCAATCAGCCAAAAGTTCCATTTCTGAATGGTCCGATGGTGTTAACCTTTCTTCAAACCCCAACCAATGCATGGAAGTTTTGTTTTCCATTGACTGTAGGTCATCAGCACTTTCTGGATCATCTGTTCCCGACGTCTTAATCAATAACTTAAAAGTTGAAAGGTCACAACACTTCAAATATCTTGGATGTTTCCTGTCTGCTGACCGGAAATGGTCTTATCACGTTGAACAAACATTTCTTAAAGTCGGAAAAATGACCTTTTACATTTCACGCCTTCGAACTCTGAGAGTGTCATTGTACATCATTTCTAAATTTATTTTCACGTGCGTTTATGCCATTGGGCCTACTGCTCTCCCGTTATCTTTTCAGGTCTACTTTCTAAGGATTTCACACTAATTAGACGCTCTCTGAAAAGCACCTCTAGATATGGAGCTGTATCTTATGAGGAACTGATTGGTTCCATTGTCATTCAACACCTTAAGGCGTGTGACCGTCTGTGTGACTCTATCTTGTCCGATGCGTGACACCCTTCACACACAGCCCTATATAGCTTCATTTCAACCTCTATCACCCGCAATAAATTCAAACCTTTATATACTTGTACCACTACTTTTCACAACTCCGTTGTACGTTTCACGTTTGTTGGTTTCTAGGGAACGAATAGCAAACGAACTTAAACACAGTCTAATGCAAATTTCCACGCTGAAACTTTTCCTTATTATTTTAAGCGTTCACGGTGTCCTATTCATTATCATCTGAGTAACTATTTGTCATATCTTTAAACTCATTTTTAATTGCGCGTATGCCAAAGCAAAACTGATAACATTCTTTTCACTGAAAATTCTGTCCACATTGGATGAATAAAGTGCACTTGACTTGGTTCCTCCTTCCTTTCCACAATTATGCTGTAATTTTGCTTACTTATTGGTTCTACTTAGACTATGTGGCTACTGAATACTCATCTTGCGGGGTGCACACAGCATATAATTGACTTGATTTATTGTCAACAGTTGCAATCTTTTCTGATAAATTAGGAGTATCCGTCAACGAACCTCCAGATTCAGAGGGATGATTAAAGAGACCCACTTAAGAGTGATATAGCTCTATAAATGCCATCTGATGCAAAATTTTGGGGTCGCAGTCGCAGTGGCCTCCATGTATACCAGAGTTCGCAACTTCCACTCCAAGTATGATACTACTCACAACAGTCCTCCGCTCTGAACGGGGATAGCTCGGGCAAAAAGTTAGAACTAAATGTATGGGGTTATTTCATCACATAGGTCGGTCCTATCCATTTTCCTCGACCAGCTCAAAACAGCTGCGATGTCAGAACGAATGTGCAAACAAACTGGGGCGCTAACAGGAAGTAAGGTTTTTCTATGTTAATCAAAGCGGAACTGTAGCAGCTAAACAGGATATACATCGATATTGCCCTCTGGAACGTTAGTTTCCGTGAAATGTGGTGCGTTCTTGAAACTGAAACAACAATAGCCAGAAACTGAAAAAAGCTCAATTTTGAATTTAGTTTCTTCACTTAATGTATGCCCCTACAGTATTTTACTGATTTTTCATTACCAATTGAACCTTCCCACGTTCATACACAACTAAGGGCAACAAAGGTAAGCCTGCACAAAGACGCTTTACATAGTGATTTATATAGAGTCAATATAGAGTCCAATATATTCACGTCCGTTACACGAGCTATTTTTCACTTTTTATATTCACGTACTTCTTGTTACCGCAACGCCATTCTTCCATATTAATCGCATTCCCTAGTCGACGCGCCAAAAGTAACAAATGAAGTTCGTGAGCGTTAGCTTGCTAGACTGATTTTACGTTCCACAACTTTTATTATTCAAATTCAATTTCCATTCAAATCATTCGCAATAATAGCGATGTAGAAAGCTGGAAATTCACCCAACGTGAATGCATAAATTTAGAGTATCGAGCTTGGATTAGCCCATTCGATTGTTCAGAGGCACCAGGCACTCGTGATGGTATTGGTAATCACAAACATTTCCATCGTATTTGAATGCATTGTCTCGTGGGGAATTAACGATCACCCAAGGAGTGAAACCCACACCCAAGACCATCAAGAGTGCTTGGTGCCTCTGAACAATCGAATGGGCTAGTCCAAGCTGGATACTCTAAACTGACTGAGCCATTCGCACAAGGATGACCATCGGCCGTGTAGCTCAGAGGTAAGGATTTGAAGTCCCGACCCGACTGATCGCGGTTCGAGTCCTGACAGGGACACAAAACGTACGTCCTGCTGACGAGTCCCAAACAGGAAGAAACAGCTGTCCAGTGCTCTTTGTTGGTTATCACAAACATTTCCATCGCGCATGAGTGCATGAAGTTTATACTGACTTGACTTGGATCGAATTTCGTTACAGTATACTCATGAGTAGTGTGATAATATAATTCAAAACAATGGGGAGATATATAGAAGCGCAATCATTCCAGTGAGCTTACCATCCAGAAAATGGAGCCAGTTGGCTGTTGGAATCCGGTATTCCACCATCGGGTTTTGACAGTGGCCAATCCAAAATCGCCGATTTTTACTGTCTGTTCGTGTAAGAAAATATTGCTGGATTTTAAGTCTCGGTGAATGATGTTTTTTGCGTGCAGATAGCTGAAAATCGCCAGGAACGAAGGAGGTAGTTTAAAGAGAGAGCGAGGGAAAATGCATACATGAGAAAGGACGAGTATTCGATCGGTGAGTGTAAAAGTACGTAGTTGGTCTAGACATCTCAGTGGGGTATGCAATAGAAGTAAAAAATTGATGAAAGCACAGGTTTGAAGTTCTGTTTATCCATTTCATCAATACAGAAAGAAAATAAATGTCGTGAGGTGTTAACATTTCGTTTAATCTTATCAGTTACTGGCACATATAGCACATGGGGTTAATCAATAATGAACGGCGAACATGTACAAGCATACAAAGATTACTAAATTTAGAAGTAGAAGGTCAACTCCACGGTAAATGGATTGATTGTATCAAGAAACCCAGGGTCATCTGTTGCACACCTTATGAAACAAGACACAGTTGACACCAATTCGTTTTTCAAACCACTATTAGGCGATTGCAATACTAAACTTTGGGCAATTAGTGAAGCATTGTTTATTAGATTATCTCAGCCAATCTGAAGCGCACAAAAGTGTTTGATGCAATCAATCCGCTTACCATGGAGTTGACCTTTTACTTCTAAATTTAGTAATCTTTGTATGCTTGTACAGGTTCGTTCTGCATAAGCGATTAACCCCATGTGCTATAGGTTTGTTTTAAGTGAGCGAGTAAGAAAATTAAACTAAACGTTAACATCTAGCGACATTTGTCTTCCTTCTGTATTGATGAAATTACAGGTATCCGTTCGCGGACAACTATGATTAATAAGCTCCAGCCAAAATGTGGAACAGGTCGGTATGAGTGGCGTCGTATACGAAATATTGGAGAACGCCATTAAGTCATCATCTAAATGTTGGGCAGCTAGAGAAATGTTATGCTATTTGAAGTATGCTGATGACATTGTCTGACTTTTCAAACGCACTGAGGACGCGAAATGACCGGAGTTGCCAAGCGACTTTCACGTCTGTTACCTCTTTTGGAGTGATCAACCACAAACTGCCACAATAACATATGTGAGTATTGAGTCGATCAAACACGAGGCTTTCTAATATCCTAGACTATGTACCGAGTAATTTATTCCGTTTATTTTGGCATTACGGTACCAGTACATTTGTATTCTCAAGTAGCAAAGAAACGAAAAGCGTGAAAATAACGCATAAACGAATGCGTAACTCACTCCATGCCTTGTGAAGTCTGACGTGCAATGTTGACCAGTTCGGTCACATCGAATCGGCGCTCCAGGACATGCAAATGTTTGTACAAACTGGAACCTTCACACCACTGGGTGATAATTGCCAAAGATGGTTTGGACACACAGCCCATAAATAGAAGAATATTCACATGGCGCGTTTTCCTGAGACCGAAACAAAATAAGCAAGCACTCAAAATCGTGAGATGGCGAGGAAAACTGGAGATCTAGAATGTTACACTATCGGATACAGAGAACTGACACATAAAGGAGGGCTTATCAATTCAGCGATATTAACGACCATGGTTTTACGTTCAGGTACTGATCGCATAACCCTATGAGCTCGTGGAAATTTCACATGGGATACGATATAGTTGGGATGAGAAGCAGTTAGTATAATCCGAGCAAGAAATTTACCTTAACACGTTCACCTCGTTTTTGAACGCTTTTAGTTGTTGTGGAGTTGGATCGGTGACGTTCAGCTCCTTGATCGCCACATCTCCGTGCCAGTAACCTTTGAACACCGTTCCAAACGAGCCCGATCCGATTCGAGGACCCTTTGTGATCTCGCTACTCGGAATTTCCCACTCTTCGTTGGAGTCTTTTCGCTAATTGTAAATGGAGGCCAAACAAGCAAAAGTAGACTCCAGTAAACAAAATTTAAAAATGGCTGAAGATACAATAGATTGGGTTCGGTAGCACAGATCGTGTACCTATCTATCTGCACCTGCAGTCTAGTAGCATATTCAGCAAAACAAGTTTGGGTGCTATTTATTTGTCAGTATATATGCAACCAATCGAATTAAGGATTGGAAAATGGTTTGAATCGACGCGGAATAGAATAAAGAATCTCTTATTGATTCACTTCAGCTGGAAACCAACTACACGGAGAGAGAGAGAGAGAGAGAGAAAGAGAGTAACCGCCTCTATTCAAAGCACCTAATAATCTTCCAAGACAGATGAGATGTACCTGCACAAGTAACGAAATTAATCTAATTAACCTATGGCCTTCCTTTTTTAAGTGAAAGTCTGAGATATACCAGACCAATCTTGTACTAACATTTTACACTTTTTAAAGGTATTAAATGCATGCCGAACAAAGGTACACTATAACTCAAACCATCCAGAAATTTACCCAGATCTTCACTGAGCAGTGCAAGGCGTACTCCAGATCAGATAACCTTTCACTGCGGAGCACATCGATATCTCAATCCTCACATAGGGTCAGGTTCGTTGCCGGAATCGTATTGATTACAATTTTGAATAGAAAAGAGAGCAGTCCAGAAGAACACCGTTTTCCGTGGTGAACTTCGGTGAAAAAGAGCCGCAGGCTAGAACCGGGCTTCTACTATTAGTATAACGGAATCGTAACATAAAAAGAAACTTCTCCGGCACACCCCTAAATGGGTTTTGTCAAATCCAAAACTGAAACTAGACCAAACTAATAACCAATGGGACAATTGATCTGGGTCAGAGGCCTGTAGGAGGACTGGTATCGATCAGGAAACGTTGTACACTTGGGGATAAGGTTGGGACCTCTAATGTCAGAAAATAAGCCAATTGAACTGCTCGTCGCTTCATGCAGTGTTGCTGAATGTGTGCCCACGAACTTTGAATACTTCACATACGCCTAGTTTCCGTGGCCCAATTAGACGGAAGAGATTATGATTATTACCAATACCCACAATCTTCTCCATCTTACTACATTTTGCGAACCATCACTTTTCGCGATCATTTCTTAGGTTCTTGGTGGGCTGGAGTTCAAGGGTTTGGGGGCTGTATGGTACACGAGAGGTGCCTAGCATCACTCGGGTTTTCATCTCGAGGGCACACCCACACTTTTACACAACCAAGTGTGGACGGCAAAGCAAAATCGTTGCTAGTGGTTCAATAGGAACATTGGTGTGACGCCAGACCAGGGATCGATGTATCCCTGCCGGTTTAACAGTTTTCCTTAATGGCTGCAGAATCAGACAGTAGATTTCATCCACCCATGCCATGTGCCATGTAACCGAAATATTGCGCCTCGGTTAGCCCCCAACTGATTCAGCCAGCTTGTCGAGCGGTTTATCGGGATATGGTTGCTGATGATGATGTTGCTGATGCTTCAGCGCTTTGGAGTCGCAAGTGAAAGTTAGGTGGACAATGAAGGCCAGAGAGATGGAAGAAACCCCAGTGACAACATGACTTTCCGGCTAAGAGTTATTATCCCTACCAAATACCTTTTATATCCCTCATCTTATCCTCGACCAATTCAACATGTCAGAGTATCGAGGCGAGAAAACTAATTTCGGGGCTTTAGGTGCAAAGCATGATATCACCCCGGAATTCCCGACGGGTAACGTTTCGTGATACCACGGCATCTAGTGACCCTAATGGCAAGGACATAGTCAGTGTGCTCCAAAAAAGCAACACGGATTGGAGATACGTAGAACAGGAACAGGCCGCGACGTGCCCAACAATGGAAAAACAAATACAAGAATAGTACGAAAAGAATACTGACTTTCCTTAGCCTAGGAAGATCGAGCGTTAATGTAGCATGATTTCCCCGTTTCAACAACGTTTATAACCAGAGTTTTTCAGTTTGAACAACCATTAACCACGCATATTCGTGCGCCGGTTTTGGTTGCTGTCTTTTGGCTGCCCATTTGGATGAAGAATAGGAGAAGAAAGGAAAGTTGAAAGTGGAGTCGAAAAGAAAATGGAGAAGTTNAGAAGTTCAGTGATCTAAGGTTGCAAAGAAATGTAGGGGATGTACGAACGCCACTGTTTACGACACCCAGCCATATCGCTGTGTCTTTAACCATCGGTTACGATCATCCCGAGGTCCCCAGCCCGGGAGCCTAACCGGACCTATGTGACCCAGTTTCCTGGTTAGGGTTTTCATACCCTCGTGCCAGCTCTTAACTTGACCAATCTTGGCTTTTTTCCACTCGGTATCTGCTTCGGCGAACATCACTCGCCGTGGCAACCTACCTGGTGACATGCTTAACACATGTCCCAGCCAACGTAATCTATG